TCTTCGCGTTGTGGTGGGGTGGCCCGGCCTTTCCGCCGGCCTCTGCTCCGCGGCCTTGCGGGGAGGCGCCGGGCCGGGCCTTGCCCGCCGTCCCGCGGTAGGAAGCGGCGGGGCGGCCGGCTCTGCCGGGACGCGGCAAGCGCCGTTGCTGCTTCTCAGAGGGAAGCTGCCGCTGCCCCCCGTCCCCTTCCCCGCGCTTGCTCTCTCTCCCGTGAGCCTGGCCCTGTCCTCAGGAAACTGCGACGTGCCTCCCTCCCGCCCTGAGGCTCGCCTCTCTGGGGGCTGCGGTGAACTTTCCCTTCTGCTGCAGAACCCTGTGGAGTCCCGGATCTGACCTCTAGACCAACCTCAGCCCGAAGAGCGGGGCCTGTAATGTGGACGTGGGGTTGTATGCTGGGGCTTCTAGTGGCTTGTGGAGGGTGGCGAGCGCTCTGGGTTGGCTACAGACCTCTCTCTCCTAACTCGATTAAATGCCCTCGCCTGGGTACTAATCTTGCCTGTGGATAAGGAGAGCAAAGCTGTCGCAGCATGCTGACAGTCCCTTGGGTTATCTTATTCCATAATGCAACTGTTACAGTGGTGTGAAAAGGTAGAACCGTGGACCCTCTTCTGTGCAGGTAGGAAGGTTTCAGCTTTCCAGTCTGAGGGACCTACAGGAAATTCTAGCTCTGTTTTTTAAGAGGGGAGGGGAAGTGGTATCCAGCCTTGTGCTGTGTGGTAAGCCGCATTTGCTTTTCCAATTTTGAAGCTTTCTGGGGCAGACTTTTTTGCCGCTCTGCAGTGAGACTGGAGTGATTCAGTGCCCCTCTAATTTTTAAGAATATTTAACTATGTTTAAGGTGATACTTAAAGTAGTCCCTGACTCAGCAGGTAGTTCAGATCTTGTTTGTGTTGGCCAGAATATCAGTCTCCATGTAATATGTTGTATTTTGTGTCTGTGCTGTGAAGCTAGAGCCCTGATGTTGTATAGGAACTGGTTGAGTGAAGGGCAGGGTCAGATGTGCAGGGCTGATGCCTGTGTGCTGGTTTCTTTGAAAAGCTCCAGGTGAATCATGTCTGAGCTCTAACTGCATGTGAGGATGGTGGCTTTGTTAGGGAAACTAAGCTTCAGTTAGGAAGGTTGCTTTAACTTAGTTATGTCTATATAAGCCTTTTGAAGGCATTCAACTTTCACCATTCATGACTATTGAAGAGAATGCTTGAGCTGTCTGGTGGTTTGGGGTTGTTCAAACTGATGCTTAAAACTCATTATCCAAATTTAAACTTGATGGGTGCTGTAAATTAAATAGAAGCCATCTCCGGTGAGCAAAAGATTTTTGTATATCAAACATCAGTGATCTGTGTAAGTACAACCCTGCTTGAAAGAAAGTGCATTCTGTAAGTCTTCTGTAGGTTTGGGGTGGTAGGATGTGTTTGTATTGCAGTATGTTGTGTGGGACAAGCTGCAGCTTGAAAGTATTCATTTCAGCTATGTAGAGTAGTCAGCTGTTCAAGAAATCCTAAGACAAAGTCAAATGTTTTAACAACCATCATACACTTGTCTTGTGACTTCCACATAAAAGTGGAAGAAAGGTTTAAAGGATCTGGCATAAAGCTGACTGAACAAAACACTGAATCACAGCAGTTGGTGTTGCTGAACATGCTTGTCCAGTGTATGACATGGACACTGGAGTTTTTCTCATGGTCCAGGCACTTGGATTTCAGAGGTGTATTTGTAAAGCTCGTTTGTTTTCCTGGCTTAGAGGAGGTGCTGTATCTTTAGTTCTAACTTGAGAACTAAGTTTAAGCTTGTTGATTTTGTTGGTTGAGTGGACAGTATGTGTTTTTAATGTGGAGTTTGGACTCATAAGAAAGACAGAAAACTGAGGAGGGGAGAGATCTTGGATTTTCTCACATGAACTTCAGTTGAAACTAAAACAAAACAAGGAAGTGGTAGCACTGAACTAGTCACTGACCATTTGTTCCTGGCCTGCTGGGGCTGGCTTCTGTTCCTGTGGCTTAACTCTGAACTTGTTTGGGAAGGCTGAGTGGCAGATTGGGACTTTAAAGCTGGAGAAAGCATGGTTCTTAAGCTGCCTGCTTTTAACCTCCTTTGCAGAGCACAAAGTGTGGTCCTTTCTTGTACCTAGCTACTAGCATTCAAGCCTGTGGCACACTATTAGTTGAACTCTTATAATGAAATCTGTTCTTTGAAATTGCATTTTATTTGAGTAACATTTTTGCCTGTAGTTCTGCAGTAAAGTACATGACTTGATTGAAGTATCTCTATAGACAAGCTTGCTTGGTTAACTTCCAAAGTTATTTTTGAAGGAGAGGCAGAAACAGTGGTGTTGAGATTAAATATGCTTTTGTTTAGCCACTTCACTGTGTCATTTTGTGAGGGAGTGGCCTCAAGGTTTATATTAGCACAGCTTGGTGTGTGGCATGAGCAGTTGTAAGATGAAAGTCTTCTGTGGCTGCTTGATAACTGACTTGCTTCTTAAACCTGTGAGGACTAAATAATTTTTCTGTCACAGAATCTTCAAGCAGCACTGTTCTGGTCAGAAAATGTCTGCTCTTGAAACCCTCTTTAAATACATTGATGAACACCAGGATGTCTATATTCAGGTAAGTATTCTTTGAGTTTTGTCCTGCAGCACAGACAGCTATGGGATATTAAAAGTTAGGTGGTCAACTTCAAGCTTGTTGTTACACCTATATAATATGCCCAATAATAGAGTAATGCCAAGTAATTGGGGAGAGGGGGGAGCAGGCAGGAAGTGTGACTGACTTCAGTCAAGCCAGAAAACTTTCTTAGGTTTGGGCACAGTTCTGTTCAAAGACCTAAATCTCCATGGTAGCTTTATTAGAAAATGCTCTATTACTGTATAATGCAAGCAGTGACTTATTTAGAGGTAAAAGAAGTTTGACACTGGTTCCTGAATGCTGAGTTAGGTACTGTCTTTCCCTTTTGGAGGTGGGAGAGGAAAGATATAAACAAGGCGGAATAAAGCTTTCTCATATGAAACTGTTCATGTTGGGGTACAGAGGGACAGGTTGCCTTCTGTATTTTGCTGTTTAGCCTGCTATTGAATTTCACCTTGTATTGCAATCCCTTTCACCTGTGAAGGAATCAGTGGTATAGCACTGTAAACTCTCAGGCAAGAACTATGCCAACCTGACTTCTGCCAGTTGCTCTTGCTGATCTTGCATGGGGGAAAAAGCTGAAGTCTCAAGGATGTTAGCTGGTTCTGGATACTTAAAGAATGGCAACCAGAAAGGCACGATATGTGCAAGCTGTCATACTCTGAGGCTTACCTGATGTATCTGTAGTCTTTTTGCTACACTGCAGGGCCAACTGTAAGCAAGTGAGGTTTTAGAGAGCTTTTGAGTGTAGTATTAATGGTTAGAGTACTCCTTTGAGCAGAGGACAGAGTTGATTTGCCTCAAGTTTAAGCTTGACTAAAACAGTATTAGTTGAATTGCAAGGTGTTGTATTTGTACAGTGCCTCCCATGCTGTAATTCATGTGTAGTAAAACCGTTAGCTTTTCTGTCTTTCTGTAGCGGCTGGCTCAATGGGTGGCAATCCAGAGTGTGTCAGCGTGGCCGGAGAAGAGGGCTGAAATCAGACGCATGATGGAGGTTGCTGCGAAGGATATTGAGCAACTGGGAGGCACAACTGAACTTATGGATATTGGGAAACAAAAGGTATGTGAGCATCTCCATGTCAGTTTAGTAGAAGTCTCTTTAGAAGACAAGGTGTTTTGCACTAGGAGGTGCTGGCTTCTTATGATCCCAGTAAGGAAGGCACTTGGGCTCCATAAAGTGTCATTTAAAATGCTGTTTGTTAGAGCTACCATTATAAAGAAAGAGGGTAGTATAGATAATCTTAAGTCCCTTCAGGTACTGGGAACCCCCAGCTGTGCAGTATCTAGTGGGCATCCAATCAGCGTGCAGCATGCTGTGCAGATCCCATTCATGGAAATGTTATCCCATTTTATTTATTCAGGCTGTTTGACATCCAAACAAAAGGGATATTCACATGAGAACTTCTTGCTGCACTTTTAGATAAAGACAAGGACATGCGGGTGGTGTAATCACCAGTACCAAGTGGGAACTGCCTGCAAGCTACAGTCAACTGGCTAAGTTTATCCTGCAGCCCAAGGATACACACAGCACAACACAGGCAGGAAGGCCAAGCTGTATGTGCAGCACAGTACAGGCTTGGGTAAACTCAGGCTAACTATGTGGATTACTAATTCCCTGATGTCTGATGATTTTCTGGTCAGCATCCCCACACCAAGGGTCTTGTGGGTAGGGACCTAGAAAGGCAGTAACCTGTTGGGGTGTAGGATAATGTCTTGCCACACAGTCTGAGCATCCTGTTAAAACCTTTGTTTATAAAGTAAATCTTGGGATCCAGATCAGCTAAGCATGTTGTAATACACAGTCCAAAATGTAATACATGTATTTTAAATACTTTTCTAACTGAACATGGACAGAGCACCTGCAAACAAATGTTAGATGTTTTTAACAGCAGGCTGGTGTTGGACCCTAGATCCATAGACTCTAAAGATATTGACTGAAGTTTCAATAAGTCTTCCAAAAGACTTTTAGGCTTTTCCAGAAGTGTTATATTTGTCACAAGATTGCACTGCTCCCTTACCAGATACAGAAGGATCCTTAATAGGATGTGTCCCCTTCTTATTTTCAGCTATCTGGACTGCTTTTCACCTGAGAAATGTGTGTGCTTGTGAATAATTTCATCCTAGGGAACTTGATATGGTCCTCCTTTGAAGTGCGTAGTCACTACATGTCACAGAATAAGATGCATACCAAAATTGTTAGACTAGTATTTGGATAGTGGCATTCAAAATCCTGTTGTACTGGAGTGTTTGCTAGTTTTAGATGATCGTCATTGTAATTGGTCCTAATGACTGCTGAGTGAAATCTATGTATATCGGGGCTCTCTGAGCAGTTCTTGCTTTTGGCAACTGGAATACACTTGTTCGTAGCACTACAGGTCCCAGCAGGGAAGCAGCTGACTTCATGTGCCCTCTTGGGAGGGAATCTGTAGGATAATTCTAGCTCTGCTACTGCCTACAGCCTAAAATCCCATCAAAAGTGTTTCAGTTAATTCAGAGACTAACTTGTTCCTTTCATCAGTGTAATTTTCTGGGGGCAAGAACTGATTTTAGAGAGTTTATTACAAGTAACACTTCTATTTAAAAAACTCTTGCAGCTAGATTAAAGTTAACTTTAGTATTTAGTTTTATATTAAGTATAGACAAAACTAGTCTGTATTATGTCCTTTATTGATATAGCAGCAATGCACAATGTAAAGCAACTGGTGATCTTGTCTGATCTAACTTAGGTTACTGCTGCACAGCAGTTTGTACTGTGTACTGATTACTGTAAGTGTAATAATGCTTTAATCACTTTGAACTGCAGCTGGCCAAGGACCATGTAACCTGTTGATAAAAAATTGGAGCTTGGAGCCCATATGAGCAAAGTCAAAGCTGATCTTGATCTCCTGAACGGTGTCTAGGAGTATGTTCTCACTGGAAGGGAAATACATGCTGACTGAGAATAGCATGTGATAATTGCTTATGGGGTATTCCAAAGAACTAGGCTGAGTTCAACTCTTGAACTAAGTTCATCAGCACTACCCTGCCCTTTCCTTAACAGCATAGGCTGGTATAGGGAAATACAGCTGTTATGCTGATCTTATTTGGGTGTAGGCATGTGTTATATACTCAGTGATACTGTCAGGAAATTTTTGTCTAGAGCTATACTGTGGACAGGATGAAAGTGCAGTGACAAGCAATGCAGCAATATTGAATGGAGTTTATCACGTGCTTAGGTCAGCATTAGATATGGCAGTTTGGCATGCAGACAGCTTGCTCTGCTAAAATTTGATGTAGGACTTACTTTAAAGCTAACAGTTCTGAGTGGCTTGGAACACTTTGGCTATTACTGGGCCTTGTCAGGAAACTTAATGGCATGGTGCTGTCATGCCTTTATTGGGACACAGCTTCTGGCAATCAGTTAAGTAGCTTAGTTTTGTTTAACTGTCTATGCCCTTAATCTCAAACTCTGTAGTGTTAAAGTAATTCATTCATCTGATAAAAATGCGGCACTGACATTCCACATTTGAATAAAACTTCTTGTCTCCTATTTCTAGCTGCCTGATGGATCAGAGATCCCTCTACCGCCAATTGTTCTGGGAATACTTGGCTCAGATCCACGCAAAAAGACGGTATGTGTATATGGTCACCTGGATGTTCAGCCAGCAGCACTAGAGGATGGCTGGGATAGTGAGCCCTTCACACTGGTAGAAAGAGAAGGTAAGACTGGTGAACTTCACAAACTGAGCACTTCTTTAATGAGTATGGTATTTCTCAACTGGTCTAAGGTTGTGTACCCTTGACTGGAAGGAGGAGGGGGAGTAAGAACTGATACGGGTGTTTGTTTAATACTGTTGAGAAAATACACAGGAGGGGAAAGTGGTAAGCAAGTAGACCTGCAACATCTCAGCTGCTTTCAGGGCTTGTTTACTTTTCTGATAGTCTAGGCTGTATTTATTTGCATATATCTTCCTTGTAGCTACAGCAAAGTCTTAACTGCTGCCTTCCATGGTAAAAATTTGTTGCCAGAAAGCTTTTTAGAACTAGTTTCTTGTGCTGTTCACAACTTGCAGCCTGTAAGGTCACGTCAGACTGCAGGGATTTTGAACCACTACAGGGGACAAACACTCAACACAGCTTCTTATGCCTGGAGACAGGAGTGGTACAGCATCCTCCCTGGGTTGCCTTGTGGTTGCGTACTGTGTTACAATGAGTACTGCGGAAGCTGTGTTTTACAGAGCTAGTGCCCACACAAGTGTCCCTCTCCCAAAACTGGGGATGAAGAAATCGTGCAGTAACTCCTGTTGAAACAACACATTGCCAGTAGCTAAGAGGAGACTAAAACTTTCTTTTCTGTTGAAAGCTGGTGCTACCAACACCCTCTTGTTTCATTTGCTCAGTGTTGAGTGTCAAAAGTCACATGAATAGAAGGACATTAACCATTCTTGTTGCGTAAGTGTTAATCATTGCCAAGAAAAGATGTATCTGTGGTAACTAGTATTTCTACTTGGGCACTTGGTCATAGGCAGCACAGTCCAAGTTATTAAATTGGATTATCTCATCTGATAGTAAGAGCTAGACTTGTCTCAGGCTGTGGCTTATTCCTGTGCAGCTTGGCAGTGTAAGAGGCATATTTACTAATGGCTCCTTACCTTGCAAGCTTTCTGGCCTGTTCTGTCACTGTGGTTACACCTAGTGCTTAGGGGTTGTAGCCACAGCTCTGATTACAGCGATACCTGCCTCTACTGTGATCCCACGTGCTGCATTTCCTGGGACCTTCCCTGTAGCCTGTAAAACTTGTCTGACTAAAGCCCTTTCTGGGGAGATTCACTTTCATCTGGAGAATCCAGAGAAGTGATTGGTTGCTAGCTACTGAATTCTTAGTCTTCAAACAAAGAATTACTGAATTGAAGCTAATACTAGGTAGGTTTCTGTTAAAAGGAGGTAGCTTGTTTCTATACCTTTACTGCTGTTTTTGTAGAAAATGATATTATTGTGAAGGATATGGGAATGACATAGCCCAAGGCAGTTACATCTTTTCCAGGCTTATGTTCAGCCCCTGTCCAGGGAGCAGCTGGGGGAAGAGGTGGGGTAGCTCTGGAAGTGGGAGAACTATTGCAGTCCTGTACCTATCCCACTTGCATGGGTGTGTGAAGTGGGATGTAAAACTGCTACTTCAGAAGAATCAGAAATGAAAGTTAATGTAAACAGGGCTAAAAAGCTTATCCAAAAAGATGTTTTCTCCTGCAGGTACCAGGTGACTGAAGCTTCATCCTAATTTTTCTCCACACTGGTCACTTTGTATCATGTTTCTACAGGAAAGCTGTATGGGCGAGGATCAACAGATGACAAAGGTCCAGTGCTTGCCTGGCTGAATGCCTTGGAGGCTTATAAACAAACTAACCAGGTGTGTGCCCAAAATGTATCCTGCTTTTTTACGTATAGCTGACTCTAGCAATAAATGTTTTCCAAACCACAAACCCTTGTGAGGCAAGCCTGCTTATTCAGCTGATGGGAGGAATGATGCAATAGTCCTGTGAAATCCCTGATGTCCCAGTAGGGTTGAGCTGACTTGCTGACAAGTAGGTCTTGTAGATGCTTGGATTGGACTTTAAACCTTTTTGCTTTAACAAAATGTGTAGGAAGGAAAATACATATGCAAGCATCTGGAGCAGGAGAAATAATCAAATGTGATCACTTTCACGTAAGGATGTCAAATTAGCTTGGCCTTTAGCAAAGCTTAATGTCTCACTGCCACTGAACTCTAAGAGGAGATTAATTTAGTAACACTAAACTGGGAGCTTTGCTGTTTCTGTTCAAGAAGTGTAATCAGAAATAGCTTAGGGTGTCTGCTTTATCTTTCAAGACAAATTACTATTACTTGTTAGAAGAATTAACAGTTCTCAAGTGCTGTCAAGGCATAGAACATGGTAGACTGGATAGACAGTAGCTGTGACTCTCCTACTGTCATGCGATTTCTGTGGCTAATACTAGTTTTCCTAGCCCCGTGACTTGCCTTTTGGCAACAGGTTTCTGCTGCATTCCCACAGTTAAGAGGATTGGGAACAAGTTGTTCTAAAGCTTAGTTAAAACTTTTTTGAAGAGTTTGAATTCCAGCAAATGAAGGGTGGTGTAAGTGCTCTCAACATAAGCGCAGTCCAAACTTTGTAATACTTCATGTATAATTAACGAATTCCACTGTCATGGAACTAATTTACCCGTGTCTATTATTCTTTGTACGTGACAGATGAAAATTACTGATTGTTGGAGTCCAATGTTTTAACATACTTAAATCTGTTCTTGTTTTTCATTTTCAAAGGAGTTTCCAGTAAATGTTAAGTTCTGCCTAGAGGGTATGGAAGAATCGGGATCTGAAGGCCTTGATGAACTCATTTTTGCTCAGCAAGAGACTTTCTTTAAAGATGTGGATTATGTTTGCATTTCTGATAACTACTGGCTAGGCAAGAAGAAGCCTTGTATCACCTATGGCTTGAGGGGTATCTGCTACTACTTCATAGAGGTGAGTGCTGAAATACAGTGGAAAACCAGTATTAAACTGAATTTTCTACTGGAGTTGTAGCTTTTTCTCATGCCAATAGCTTTTCTTCAGAAAAGGTAAAACTGACTTCAGTAGAACAGTTTCTACTAATTGTCTAAATACCTTCTTTTTACTATCCTATGATACCTGAGTAGGAGGGATAGCTTTCACATGTATGAAGCAAGATAAGCCAGCACCTTCACTGAAGGATTATCTCATGGCATAGATATCTTCATCCAGATATTTCCTTGAGTGCAGGAAGAGCTGTCACCACGGAAGTCCCTGAGGTTGGGGCAGTCAGTACTAAGGGCTTGTACTCAACAGAGCAATAAAAAGCATATCTGCTTTAATGTGCTACAACTGAGCAGTCTGGGTTCAGAAACGGATGCATTCCCAAAATATGTGCAACAAAAAGCTAGGGTAAAAGTCTCTTCTGTGCATTTGACAGTATCTTCATGCTAAAATTAACCTGATTCTTAATTCACTTCAAACCAGGTGGAATGTAGTGACAAAGACCTTCACTCTGGAGTTTATGGTGGTTCAGTACATGAGGCCATGACAGATCTCATTACGCTAATGGGTAAGCAAAAGCAGGTTTCACTGACTGCATCTAAAATGGGAGTAAGAGCCATTAAAGCATGAGTGAGTTTGCAGTGAGGGGGATTCTTAAGGGCTGCTTATACTAGTGAAGCAATGACCAACGAAATAGTGCTTGTCGGGTATGCAAGGCTGATGGCTTAGATACAGAAAAAAGTTGAAGGTCTTGCCCAGAAGTTCTTGATCTACTTCAGCTTCCCCTAAAATCTTGCTGCAAACTTGTAAGCTAATTAAATCAGCTCATTTCTTCAAACTCTTGTATGGATGCCACACTGAACTCCTTGGGAATACTGCCTTCAAACAGCCAGCTAAACATGTAGCAGTAGAATTAAATACAGTTGCAAGGAAGTGCACATTTTGGCATTTTGAAGAGCAGTAAATTCCATAGGTGCCTTCCATGCTTAGTGGTACACATTCTGGGAGGTAAAGATCAGAATTTCATTACATTTACGGAGTTTTCAGAAGGCAAAGACTTCTATTTCCCATTGATAGTGTTCCCAGCAATGACATACTGTTTCTTCTGCTTGAATCCTGATATTAGGTCCTTCTTGTTTACAGGTTCTCTTATAGACAAGAAAGGGAAAATCCTCATCCCAGGCATTAATGAAGCAGTGGCACCTGTTACTGATGAGGAGCTGGCACTATATGAGAAGATTGATTTTGACCTGGAAGAATATGCAAAAGATGTAGGAGCAACAAAACTATTGCATGATACAAAGGTATACTGTACTCCTCTCTATCCTGGTTAGCTGTGTTAGTTCAAGCTATCTATATTAGCAGAAGACAGAAACAAGCTTCTGTGGATGCTTTTGTAGTAGTATTGTGTAATTTAGGCAGAGAATTCATCTGATGTCTTTAAAATGGTGAGATTGCCTTGAAGATAACTTTACCTACTGTACAGTTGACTGTATACTTAACGCTTGCAGTTCCTCTGCAAAGAGTTAGGTGCTTGGAAACTTAGTCTAGGTTAAAGGCATATTTAAGGCAAGCTGTCTAGATAATTTTAAATTTGCTCCTTGGTCTATAAGTAGCATTTCAAAGTTGTACAGAACTTTCTTTACCTAGTGCTGTTCTCTTAATGCTGGATAAGAACTGTTAGCACTTTTCTAGAGGTCAGATACCACATCTGACATACCATAAAGCATCTGATTTCCTACATCTGTAGGAAGTTCAGTGGGTTACCAGAAATATAGTTGGTCATAGAGATGACTTCTCATTAGGTGAGAAAACAGCTTGAGATCTAGCTGTGATGAACTTAAGGTTGACATACTTAACACCTTCCTACACCTGGCAAGCAAGGACTGTTTTGTAGCCATGAACTAGGCAGCTGCCCAAATCTTTGAACAGGCTCAAGTTCAATAAACTCATGTCTGATCTTCTCAAGTCTCCATCTTGGGAGCTCTCCAAACAAATGCTTTTAACAGCATTGAATCTTGCAAGGTATAGGTATTACTAACTTTAAAGCATTAAACCCTAGATATAAATACATCTATCAAAAAGCAGAAACAAGCATTGTAAAAGAGGTTTGCATGTGCAGGTCTGCTTTCTGTCCTAGTACTGTCAGCAGGAGACTTCACGCAACTTGGGTATGAGTAACAATTTTATATCCTCAACCTTGTCTTTACATGCTCAGGTTTGTATCAACTGGGAGCATGCAGACTTCCATTTTTAGCCTTTTCCTATAAGGTAATGATGAAATATAGCTTATATATAAGGAGGAGCTGGCCAGATGCTTTTTATGTATGATACTGAACTAAAGCTGTTCAGTATTTGCTAGACCCAAGGGAGTTCCAACTAAGCTGCAGGCATGCAAGAAGGGTCTTGGGGCTAAGGAGAGAGATGGTAGAGAAGGCTGTAATCTCCAAGTGAGAAACAATGTGCTTGAGAGATTTGAAATGTGACAGTTAAATTTGCTTTGAGAGATGATTAGAGGCAGATTGTACGTGGAACAAAACAAACTTAACATAAAGGCCACAATTTCCAAGTCTCTTGAGTCTCTGCAGTGAATTTCAGGTTTGAGATACTGTAGCTGTCTATAGAGGACACAAATGTGTTGAATTCACAGTATCCAGTGTACTGAACAGCTGTATCCAAGGCAACAGGGAGGAAATGCAGAAGTGTATCTGCAAAAGGCAATAGTGCTTACTCTAATCAACCCAGAGTTGGGTCAGTTTAATACAATTGATGATATAAAAGCAGGAACGTACTGTATGCCTCAGTCTGCACAGTGGTGAGGCTTTTAGAAAAGTTGTGATCTTCGTAAGCATGTGACTCAGTGATGAAGGCACCTGCCTGACTTGAGGCACTGGGGACCAGAGCTTCCAAAGCACTTCCTACACACTGTGTTTGAGCACCTTAATGGTATTTGTGTCCTTGTCAGAAGCAGACTGGTCATGTTCCATAGAACTAGGAGAAAGCCAAACTAGAGTTACTGAATCTCTTAAGGTGCTGAAAACCCAGCTGTTGTACCAAAATGTGTGCTTAATGGGAGTAACAGCTTCTGCTTATAACAGTGGTCTTGAATGAGCTGCATTGTCTGTAGGAGAAAGCATTGTTTCTTGCAAAGTCTTTATTACGTTGAAGAAATTATAACTTTGGGGAACACTGTCAAACGTCACGTAACCTTGCATCTTTCCCTTTGCCTCTGCAGAGAGATATCCTTATGCATAGGTGGAGATATCCTTCCTTGTCTCTTCATGGAATTGAAGGAGCCTTCTCAGCCTCTGGAGCTAAGACTGTGATTCCTAGGAAAGTGATTGGCAAGTTCTCAATCCGGCTTGTGCCAAACATGACTCCTGAAGAAGTCACAAAACACGTATGTTGAGATGGATTGATGGTCTCAGAACAACTAGTGTCTCTAAACTTCTCCTGTTCTGCGTGCCTGGGGGAAGAATATTTCTGGTTTCTAAAGCAGTTCTGGTTATTTACTTTGTTACCATCTTCTCTGTTCTGCACCTCAACTCAGATAACTGAGAGAATTCCTGTATGGTCCCACACTGGACCATTGTGGCCTGGCTATTCAATTTCTCTCAAATAACGCAAAGAAAGGGCTCAGGAGTAAATGCTAAATTAATTGTAGGGCACTTGGATTGCCCAAAGTGCATATTCAAAAGCATAAGCGTTTGACATATTGGCTAACTGTTCTACAGTATACTGTTAACTTGCCTAAAGAAGGTACTCTGACTTCAGAGCAGAGTTACATGGGAATAATATGAAATAATAGGAAGGAAAGTATTGCTGCACAGTAGTAGTGACCTGCAAGTCCCTAAGATCCTTTTAGTATACAGTCTTTACCAGTGTTCATACAAATGCTAACAGTAGATAACTCTTCAATCTTTCTTACAGGTTGAAGACTATGTGAGCAAAAAGTTTGCAGAGCTGCAGAGCCCCAACAAATTCAGAGTATACTTAGGCCATGGTGGAAAACCCTGGGTGTCAGACTTCAACCATCCCCACTACATGGCTGGTAGGAAGGCCATGAAGACAGGTCAGTAGGTTTTCCACTTGGCACTGGGAGGACTAAAAAGCTCTTGTTCTAGCACCTCAAGAAACACTGAGGAGGTCATGTTTGCAGTGTTCTGCACTTACAGAATAAGCTTGGCTTAGTAAGGAAGCATGTTGTGCGCAATCCTTAAACTCAAGTCTGAGGTACAGGAAGGAGAGAAACTTGATATCACACTAATTCCTACTACACTGGAACAAGGCCATTGGTATGGTGCTGCTTTTGCATAAGGGTGAGACTGTCGGTTCAGATCACTTGATCTGAACTCAAAATTTAGTCATCCTAGCATCCTTCTTAATCAGTTATGCCAAGACAACTAGATTGTGTAGGGCAACTAGAGCAAATCCAACTTCTGTGTTGGAGTACAAACAGGCTTTCAGATGAAGTGTTATTTGTGTAACTGACCTCCAAAAGTGACAGTACTCCAGCACTACATCTGGGAGACAAATGCCACAATTCTGCAACCTATGTGGTCTGGCTGATTAAAACGGAGCAAGATTTGGTCAGCATGTGGTGCAGAAGTGGCTGGTACGTGATTGCTTAAGCAGCAGTAAGGATCTGTGTTGGAAAAACAAATACAATTCCAAACTGACTAGAATGTCACTTTGTAGTTTTTGGAGTTGAACCAGACCTGACGAGGGAGGGAGGAAGCATTCCTGTTACCCTTACTTTTCAAGAAGCAACAGGCAAGAATGTCATGCTGCTTCCTGTTGGAGCTGCAGATGATGGTGCCCACTCTCAAAATGAGAAGCTAAATAGGTAAGAGAACATTTATCCCTGTGCCAGGCTGAGTTTGCTGCTGGTCTTGGCATGTATTATGAAAAGGAGCAAGAAGAATTGGGCTTTTGCTTTTCTCAAAGTCTCTGGAAGGCAAAGTGCTGTTTCTCCCTAGTGGAGGATGACTGGGTGGGTAACTGGTCTGTAGCTGAATCTTGATCCAATTACTGCTTCTAGTTTTATACACTTAAAATCAGAAGCAGTTTTTATACTTTGGTCTCCAAGCTTGGCTACTCTCCCCTACCCCAAGGGTGGCATTTCTCTTGCCAGAGGAGATTCCAGGGAGGTTGGGAGTAGTACCTGGTGCCTGTAGCATCTCTTGCCTGCATAGGACTGATACCGCAAAATGCACAGCTACTAGAAATACAGCTCAAGCTAAGACAATGCTAATAGAAGCTATCTTCTTCCCAGGTACAACTACATCCAAGGGGTGAAGATGCTTGGTGCATACCTCTATGAAGTCTCCCAGCTGAAGGACTAAGACACCTTACCTTCTGGCTCATGGATCAGAAGTCTGAATTTTCTTAGAAAATGTGATCAATTACCAAGTCTTACATGGCTCCCCTTTTTACCAACACTCCACTGCTTTGGTGGGGGAGAGGGAAGCATGCAGTTCCACTTGACAAAGAACACTGTATACCAAAAATGTTTCTTTAAATGCTTACTTCAAATGACACAGACTATTCTTTATCTGGCCAGCAGTCCTGAACTGCATCTTTGTCCCCTCTGTGTCACTTCAAAGTTGTGGTTTGCTGTATCCATCTACTTTTCCTGTAAAGCAGGAGGAATGGTTTGCTCTCAATTGTTTAAGCAGCCACATGAGTTGCAGAACTGCTAGCCAAGTTTAAGGTTCTTATTCCTGGATATGTCCTGGAAATAGTCAAAGTGACAGATTATGGGGCTATACTGGAATGTGTTCAAGCTGTAGTGAGGCATCTGTCTTGCTGACTCAGTGATTTGGAAGAGCAGTTTGTCTCTTACAGTTTATACCTGCCTGCAGGTTTCAGTTTACAGTGAATTAGGTTATAACAAAATTCACTATGGTAATGACTACTGGCCATCTTTTTGTAAAGCTACCTTTGTACACCCTAAAAAGGACAATAAATAATCATGCTCTAGAGTTTGGCTCTTGGTCTCTAAGGATTAAATAGTGACTTGGGAGGGAAAGCAACTTCAGGTAACTTGAGAGGAACTCTTCTATGGTTACAGAGGCAGGAGAGCAACATGGCTACACAGACTGTACTTCCTGGGAATCCAAATTTTTATTCCTTAGGCTCTGGCTCCATAACAGCTTGTTGACTTGAAGCAGATGTTGCTAAATCCTGCTCTCCTGAGAGAAAACAAGCTCAGAAAATGTTCCATTTTGGCTCTGTAAACCAGGTCATCACACTGTAGCACAACTGATGATACTGCAAGGGAGTGGGTGGAATTTGTAGGTGTAAGTGGGGAGAGAAGAGCATCACTCATTGCAACTACTGACTGACATCCAACTTCCAGCTGTCTTTTGGAAACATTCAACTGCAACACTTCTGGTATTATGTCAAAAAAAAAATAAACCCTCTTAAATGTGTGCTAATCTGAACTGGATTTGGCTCAGTGTTTGTGAATTCCCTGACCAGTGCTAGCAGGCTAAGCTAGGTAAGTATATCAAGTGATGATGCTTTGCTCTGAGAAGTGCTTGAGAGCACAGAGCAGTCCTGTAGTCTGACAAATAGGTGAGCAGTATGTGATGCTTCCTGCCTTGGGGGGCAGAAGGCAAGAATGTCTTTGGTTTTCACTGTTGCTTGATCTAGAGTCTTAATACTGGATGGCTCTTGGGTCAAGGAGGAGTTTTCTGTTCTCACTGTGAAGCTTCTCAAGCTTCTCTGCCTTGTTTGTTTTGTTGTTTGGTTTGTCATGGAAGCTGATGGCTGGAAATAACCTGGTACCATTAAACTTTGCACTTACAGCTGGGTACAGCCTGAGACCCATGTCAGATGCCTGTGTCAGTACTTGCTAGCACCAAGCATCTGCACAAACACTGGGTAGTGGGCTGCCAGGTTCTCACCTTTCGGTGACAGTGGAACTACTCTGATACAGCATGTGGTCTGTACGTAGGACAAGACTGGCATGCCTGAATATTTGAAGGTCATCGGTGTGCTGAGATCAATTAGTTATACAGGATAACTAGTCCTAGCAGTCAGTGTGTCTAAAGCAGCTTCAGTTACTGAAATGACACCTCAGACTTCTCTAAATGGGGTAACTTACACAAAAAGACAATTCCCTGGCTGTTGGTGAATTCATATTGCTAATTTTCTATCAATTTGAAAAGCATCAAAACTTAAAAGAATCTAGTTCCTGGACTCAGGCAATACTAGTTTCTCACAATATCAAGAAAGCTTATTTGGGGAGTAAGGAAGCTGATAATGTCATGAACTATGTTCAGAAAGTGAGTGTGTCTGTAGTTGTCCTATTTAATTTGTAAGTAATTTCTTGACAATCACTTAATTGTCCAAGTTCTGCACTCAAGACACTGCATCAGATCCTGCACTTCCTGAATAAGTACAGCATGGCAGAGTTGTGAAGGATGTCCAAAGCAGGAGAAAGTGTGTTAAGTGGTTTGTAGAAGAGGCTGGGAAGTAGATCCTATTGCATAGACAGCAGAAATATTTTGGCATGGGGTGAGTGCCAGAACCCTGTGAAAAGGAGATTAAAATGGAACTTTGGCCTGAGCAAAATGCAGGGGCCTATTTAAGCATACAGGAGTAAGTTGCTGAAGTAATGGCTCCTTTATGAGATTAATGCGGTTTCAGGTTTGTTTAGGTGTATAATTTTAAAGCTGGAAATAGTCAGTATCTGTTACTTTGCTACAGTGGAGCTTGCTTTAGCTGTAACCTCCCTTGTCCCCACCTAAGGTCACCACAAAAGCAGTAGTGCTTGGCCTGAACGAACAACACAGGCAAAAAGGACTAGTGGTGCCAGCTCCTTTCTGTAGCCTGGCTGCTTCAGACCTGACTCCTTGAAGACTTCTAGAAAACTAGTATCTGATGTGGAGGTCTGGTTTGCTGCATCTTGGGATGGCTGTGCATCACATGAAGTTTGCTTAGCCCAATCTGTTAGAATAGCAGCACTGTCATACAATACAGGTGACAAAGTGTGAGCTAAACACAAAACCCAAAATGTATCAGTGAAGCACAGAACCTCGCAGCACCATCTGCTGGGTGTACAAAGGCTGTTGGTATTTTCCATGCAGAACTTCATAGCATTGCTTTTTACCTGTTAGTTTACAGAAAGGCTTGGCCAGCTCCAGTTAATATATGACATGAAAGCTTGTTTAATTAATGACCCTCAGCTGATGCTCATTAAAAGATTCCTAAGTGAACTGACTTGACTGCCAGACCAATCTCTGGTTATGGGGAAGTACAGCTGGGAGGAGGGCAAGACTGCAGGTGTTTCAGAGGGCTTTGGTTAGCCTAGGTCTAGCTGCTATGTGGTTTTACTGTGCTAAGTAACTCCCATGCAATGGTAAGCACTGGAAAAATGTTCTGGCTGATTTTGCAGTTTCTTCCTCGTGGTGTCTGCCTGCAGTCTGGGATGGACTTCTCTGGGATGGAGTTATGCCTGGAACAGCTTTACAAATGTGAACAGCTACAGTCTCTAATTTTCCAGAGTAGAGATATGCCAGCTCTATTTATAAGCAAGGCTATCAAAAGGAATGTGGTTACAAACTTCTTTAATCTGATAAGTGGCTGAATCTTGGCTGGGCCTATCAGGGATACCAACACATGCCTGCTTAGCTTAGACTTATTTACTACTTAAATTATTGCTTCAAGATGTTCTTTTCTTTTTCATGCCCACGTTTTCCTTGTCTCTTACTTGGCTGTTAGGTGTAAACCAGGTAGGAGCCCAGCTTACTGCCAGCTGACCCAAATGGCATGTGGCTGTCAATTGATGAGAGATTTTTTTTTTTTGCAAGCTTCTGTTTAGCTGAATTATGTCAAAGTATGCTAAACACCTTCAAATACTAAAGTGAAAGCAGTGGGATCACCTTTGTACTCTCTCTGTGCCCTCCACCCCCAGGGTAATTTTGCTTTTCTTGTCCAGATTCCCTTCAAGACAAAATAGATGGAACTGCATAACTCTGCTATATTTGAAAGCTGGACTTTTATTAAATATGGGAGAAGATTTGTATATCCTCACTTAGCTATTTTTCCCCTTGCTTAATTAACTGAAGTCAGCAGCAGTGGTTTCCCGGAAACTAATTCTGGGGGCCCGGGAGGGTTACTTGCAGAAGGAAAGGTGACTGCATAAGTAGGCAGCTGAGGAAAAAAAAAAAGGGGGGGGGGAATATCTATATGCCATAAAAGCAAAACACATTCTTCTGTCCTGTTTTCTAATGTGGAATAAGAGCTTCATTCCTGATAGGAAATTTGGAAATCTCTTGGTCAGAGGCATGCTGCTTTTCACAAGTCTAGATGGCTTGTACTTCCAGTTCTCCCACTCCAAGAATGGAGGGAGATCTACAACATGCATTTTACAATCACTTGTCCACAGGACGAAAGTGCTGCAAAATTGAGAATGCAGACTTCTGGCTTGTAATACCTTGTTGCTCACTAGATTTCTTGTGTTTTAGCAAAATCTATGACAGTGCATCTTGGTATGGAATATGCACTTAAAAGAGCAGCTGGAGTTATTACAAGCTATTATCCTTAAATGAATAAGCCCTAACTGCCTTTTAAAATGTCACTTTTCTTCATTTTTGCTGTACCGGGAAACAATAGCATGTACATTAAAAACACAGCCCTGACTTTCAACTATGTGGCAATCCATTTTAGGCTTACTGAGCACAATGTTTCCTAATTTGAAACTGTTTTTAACTTGTAAAACAGGCTTTGGTTTAGCATAATGAGTTTGGATATACTAACTAAATCAAAACCTATTTTTCCATAAGGTTACATGGTAGACTGTCTTAACTGCAAGAACTTCAGCTTTGTGATCTGGACCTTGAAGCAATGTGAAGAGTGGAGATAACATAGAGCTAATCTAGATAAAGTATGCGAGTTTGTTCATTCTGTCAGAGTACCAGCTTAAAAACATCACAAACTTTTTGCAGTGTTATCTGAACTCATTCAGTTAGAATAGATTCATGTGTTAAATATGCTTTTACATTATGAAGAGTCAATCTGAATAAATCACCTTCCTGATAATTAATAAAGTTATGCAGGGGATTTAAATCACTCTTCAGAGAATCTGCTTAGGCTACACAGAGAAGCTTATTAGTGGATAATTTTGATTCTAGTCCCTTGCTAGCTTGATCATACCATTCTACATCACGATGTTAGATTATGACAAACTCTGAATGCTAAGACATGTTTTTCTAGTACTTTTAAATATTCATCTTTCTATTAATTTTGCATATCTTTAGCGATTCTGAGATTTCTTGAGGACTGCTTAAAATGCATGCCAATGAATTATGCCAGCTGATGCTGACACATTGGTATGCAGTGTCCTCCTTCTGTCTGGGCAGGCTTATGTTCTCCTCAATCATGGAGGCAGCCCATAGACCTCTTATGTTTCTGCCCTTTAGACTGAAAAATGAGGTAACGAATACAGCTGAGCAGCTTCTTTTGTCATTGTTATTGTGCTATGCTCTCCTTTGGAAAAGCAGCCGTCCTATATGCGGTGCATTTGAATCGTGAGACCTGTTGCATCCTCAGAGGATACCTGGTCTCTTTACAAAAAGTACAAGGTAACTCCACCAAGGTAACTTTAAGAGTTACTACATAGTTATAATCTATAGCAACAAATTCGACCTACAGCACAAAGTGCCAAATATTATTTGGAAGTGAAATATGTTCAGTTATTAGATACTCAAGAAGGTCTTTGTATAGAGATATTTCTTCTGTGTTAGCTGCTGCTTGTGAATGTGCGCCCTACAGTTGTCAATCACAATCCGCTGCTCTGTACTGAAAGACTAACCTTAATAAAGTTTAAGTGTTCATAAGTAATGTGTTTGAATAGCATCTAAGGAAGGATCCTTTGAAGGCTGCTGTTACTGTCTATATAGATAAATGAAAACATATATAAAAATGCTAAATGTCTCCATGTAAAGGTGAATCTTTGGAGGACTGTTTCCTTGTT